CAATTAGAACCATAGCTGCGTCGTTATAATCAACTAGGGGTTTAAATTATCGAACCTTGAGGGAATGGATAGATTGGCGGAGGCGGCAACGACGGCGTTGGGGTTCGTGAGGTGGGATGAGGTGTTTGTGTCGAGCGACAAAGGGAGGAGAGAGGTCCATTACTATCTGAAGCGAAGCGACGGGAGCTCAGATCTGGCTGTGGTAGGCAAAGAGAAGAGCTTGCGGCACATGTCCTATCATTACGCGTTTAGAAACCGATCCTTATTCTCTATGTCTTCGCTTGTTAAGCTCAAGTCTCGCAGGGAGGTCGTTGATTGGCTAAATTCCGTCGTTTCAGGTAAATTTCGCGCATGTTCAATTTCTTGATGAATTTTGATAACCCTCCCTTTCTTGTTTGTTTTTGGATATTTTGAGGGTTTTCACTTTTCCTTATTGGGAAAATTGAATGTGTTTTTGTATTTGTCTACAATTTGTTCGTGTAGTATTGTTGGGATTTGGCTTTTGTTGAAGAAATTTTCTGGATCTGGATGGTTTTGTTTGAGGCGGACATAGAATTACTGGGGTTGTGTTTAATTTTTAATCGATTTATTCACAAATCGATTTCTTTTGTTCCCATTTTCTTGTGTATATTTTCACTGATTTGTGGTCATGGGAGCTTCCCCACCGCTTTTACATGGGATATCACCATCAGAATTTTTTCAGAGACGGGTTCTCTGGTTGATAGGGCGGAGGGTTCTTGGGTTCACCTACAGGCCAAATTCAAGGCTTTTCCCTTTGTTAAAGTTTCAACCTTTGCCATGAGACGCAAGTTTTGTGATAATCTGGGTTTGTTTTATCTCTCAAAATCTGATTTCCTTTATCTTTCAATTTCTAGATTCGGCTCTGGCAAGAGTGTTTATCCTCCAAGTTGGCCTGTCTTCCGCTCCTTTCCCTCTTTCAGATCTCCACTTATGTTGAATTCTTCTTGGCATGAGGAAAAATCCCCTTGCCTTGAAGAAAAATTATTTTATTCATTTCCATGTAAAATCTTTTCTTTTTTTGGGATCGGTCTTACCTCTCTGTTTATTTCTTGGAAATTTACACAACTTATAGCCGTTCTATTTGTTAAAAACACGAACGCCTTAAAGATATTTTCGTCATGTTCTTTCATTGAGCCCCCACAGGCCATTTTTTGTTCACTAATGAAGGACCTTACAGGTGGTATGGGCTGTTTTATGCGTATTCTTACTTTTACGGTCTTGTCTTTATCTGGCTTTGAACCTTGACCATGCTCTGTTCTTGATGGTATTGCTGGTGTTCCTGTTTTTGTGAACTGACTATGATCTGGGCTGCAGGATTTTTAATTAAATTGTAAAGAGCTGGTTGAGAGCATCGGATCCTTATGCCCTCAAAATCTCTAGGTCAAGACCCTTCATGGCCAGATTTATTATTATTCCCTAATGATCTTTGGTATCTGTGGTAGTTTATGTCTTCAGGTTTTCAGTCTCTCTGTTTAATGTATCCATCTGTTATGGAGACTTGTCCTTTGCACTGCTTGTTTCTGTTTACACATTTCTTTCTGTTAATATTCTTGGGTTGTTTTTCTTTTATGTTTTCATTAATGTGTCCTGATTGCTGATATATCTGTCATTCTATTTTCGTTATTATTTTTACTGTAGTCCACGTTAAATGTCATATTAATTTGTTTGTTTTATGAATCCTTCAGATACATCACCTCACAAGTCACCTGATTTGGGTGGGAGTGTGTTGGATGATAAAGATTCTTGCAAACTGGGGATTGAAATCCATAAGGTAAGGATGATTACTTATGACCCTTATTTACCCCTCTGCATGTTTTATGCTTCAAATATTTATTACTGAAATACGCTTATATTCATTCTCCATCTTTCTCCTAGGATACTGTATTGCGGAAGTTGGGCCACCATACTACAGAGTTTCTGTGGTTAGGTTCTCCTTGGACATGCAGGAAAAAACGGAGGCATTATCAATCTTTCAGCCGGAACAGTGTTGTAGTTTCTGTAAGTTCTATTCCGTTGCCTTTTCTTTTTATTAAAAAAAATTCCCTTTTGTTTCTTGGACATCTTACTATCAATTGTGAGTTTGCTTTTAGAAAATATTTTCATCTGACTCATTCAACTTCTGTTGTTCCTCTTTCCAAATACTTTCAGGTTCATGATTTTGTATTTGTTTTAGCAGAGGAGGATAAGCGTCTTGTTGCATACTTAGAAGATATGTACGAAGATTCTAGGGGCAACAAGATGGTTGTGGTACGATGGTTTCACAAAGTTGATGAGGTTGGTATTGTTTTGCCTCGCAATTTTAATGACAGAGAGATTTTCTTTTCTCTGTGTCTTCAAGATCTCAGTATTGAATGCATTGATGGATTGGCAACCGTCCTCAGTCTCCAGCATTTCGAGAAATTCCACAAGGAGGCAACGCAAACTCATTTGGAACCCTTTGTATGCCACAAGCAGTTTGATAATGATGATTGCAAGCCCTTCGACATTACTCAAGTTAAAGGTTATTGGAAACAGGAGATACTTAGATATATGTGCACAGCTTCTCCTTCAAAGGTTCATGGGAGTTCTCAACAATCAACAGAGGGGTTGGAAATGGAGGAAAATGATGATGCTAATGGTGTCAGACCTAAAAAGAGGCATCATTCAATAAAAGGGTATGATGTGTGCTTGGAAAACAATGACCGAAGGGAATCACTGGATGCAGTATGCGTGGATGTGGGGAATTTTAGTAAACATGGGACTGATTGCAGAAGTAAAAGCGAAGCCTGTGGTTTTGGAAGAGGGAGTTCTGATGCTACTTTACCTAGTAAAGAGGTGAAGAAAACCCTACTGCAGCATTTAGCACTGGGCTCCCAGGTTGAAGTCCTCTCACAAGACAGTGGCATTAGAGGATGTTGGTTTAGAGCTTTAATTATCAAAAAGTACAAAGAGAAAGTAAAGGTGCAATATCAAGATATTCAGGATGCAGCTGATGAAGCTAAAAAACTTGAGGTATGCATTGGGGCCATCTCTGTTATATTTTATTTTGTATTAAACTTGTGTCAAACCTGTTCTATGCTTATGGCTTGCTTGAATTTTATGATTTTCATGTTGTAGGAATGGGTTTTGGCATCCCGGGTTGCAGCTTCTGATCAATTGGGTTTTCGGATTTGTGGTAGGCCAATTATTCGGCCGTCTCCAGAGTCTAATAAATGCAAAGTTTCATGGGCGGTTGATGTTGGGACTGCTGTTGATGTCTGGTGGCACGATGGGTGGTGGGAAGGGATTGTAGTTCAGAAGGAATGTGACGAAAGACTTCGTGTGTATTTCCCAGGTTTGCAAAGACTTCCCTTCTTTGAAATCTAATAATAGTAACAACGAAGTTCATGAAAATCTGTTAATTTTGTATTTTGTATTTTTGTTTACTTGCTTAAATATATTAATTTGCTTACTCTCTCTGTGCAGGAGAAAAACGGGTGTTGATTGTCGGTCGTGGAGAATTAAGACATTCTCAAGAGTGGGTGGGTAATGGGTGGGCTCAAATTAAGGACAAGCCTGAACTTGTTAGCTCAATCACGTGTAGTTTAGAAACAAAGCAAGTTGTGGGAAAATGTTTAGATGGCATGTCAGCACAATCTGCTATCTGCGATAGCAGGGCCTCGAAGAAAGATGAAACAGGGTGTAAGGTTTCTTGTCTGCTCTATAAAAAAGATAAGGATGAAAAGGTTAAAGAATTGGGTAAGGTTCCGGATCTTTTGAAAGATGATGTACTTGCCCAGCTGAAGTGGAAGTCGTCAAGGAAGAGAAGACGTAACTGGAGCTCTGTCCAGAAGGTGCATTGCATTGTTGGTGATGGTAAAAGCACCCGTGGCCTTGTGGGATCCGGTACTTGTGAAAGATTTATGATTCCGTCATCTCTGAAAGTTGATCATGAGAACTGCAAATATTTAGGGGATTCTCTGTTCAGTTCTTCAGTGGCGCCCCCACTAACAAGCTTAGTTATGTAGTTTATTCATCCACAAGTATATATTTGCTCTGGTGCATCTATTGGATGCCGCTTTCTTTTTAGACCCTATAATCTCAGCAATGTCATCTCCTGAAGTGTTCGTTTGATGAGTCATGGCATCCAAATCTCTCCATGTAACGTGTTTAACTATTTATGCAACAATAGCCTGAAGCCCTGCAAACGTCAGGCAGAAATTTTTGGCGCAGTTAGAAATGACCTTTTTAGTTCTTCAGTCTTCAGAGTTGGTAGCAGTTGGATGTAATTTGTATATCGTTTTTTGATTTAATAAAATTTTAACTGTCAATCTTTTTGGTTGTCAGAAGTTTTTAACTGTCACTTGCATAATGTTTGAGCTGGCCCCCTCTTCCGGAAGGAACCCTTGGGATTTGTAATTGACTATGCCATTCTGAACCATGGATGGATTTATTCTCTCACGAGGATTTTAGTGCATGATCAGGCTCTCGTCGTTTGTGATTTGATCTAATTCAACTTAATGATGTTTGGCATCAGCAAGTGTCCGTTGGTCATAATTTAGGGACCAGCCTTTTATTTGACTTGGTCTCACCTTTGAACAGAACAGCTACATGACAGGGATCCTATCCTATGTTCTTTGTAACGTTACAGATCTAAGATAATATCAACTGTTTTCCAAGTTGGCTTTGTTTACAAATAGAAATAGAGTTTTGGTTGGGCAAGGATCCTATGTCACAAATAGTTGAAAACTTGTAAGAACAGACCAAAACTACGACTAAAACCTGTGCTTTAATAGATAATTTGACTGTTATTTACAGCTGTACCGCACTTAGTATACTGCACGGCATCATTGTCAAGTAACGTCGGAGGAATAAGTATGGAGAAGAAAAGTTTGTGTGCCAATGCCACACACTAATGCGATTGTGGGGCTACCATTTGTGAATGAAGCATCGTTGTCAACTAAAGACCTTTACCTTTTCCCATTTGCTGCTTTAACAAGTTTTTTTTTTGTCATTAATCTCCGCTCCCTTTCTCTCCAACAAACGGTACTAAAGGACTCAAAGTACCTCAAAAAGTAGGAAGGCTCCATCAGGACAGCAGTAGCTGCTGCTAGATCATTTTCTACTTGCATGATGGGATTGAACTTCTTACCTTCCTGCTCTGTGTGAGGTTCTTCTTCTTGCTCTGTTTAAGCAACATAACGAAGCCATGGCTTGCAGTATTGATGCCCTAACAAGGAGCTCTCATGATTTGGAATCAAAATGAAGTCAAACACTTCATCACTTTCTCCTGGAACCAGTCTTGCCTCTGCTGAATCTTTATCCATGCCTCTTGTTTGTACTCTCTCTCTCTCTTTCTCTCATTCCTGCATTCATTTATATTCAGACCTTAAGTTATTGTTGGTTTTTTTCTCGCTCAAACCAGTTCCAGGAAGTTGTTCTCTCTGCTGATATAGGATGTACTGAATGCCAAGAGAGACTTGCAGACATGATGTCAAAATTGGGTGGTAAGATTCCTGTGCAGCCTTATATGCTTTGGATTATCATGGCAAATTAGAGACCCTTTTGTCTTTGTTCTAAATATCAGTAGAGTCTTGATCGCTTGCCTGCCTCCTATACAAGATACTGCATGTATGAGTTTTTGCTTTGATGAACTAATAGCATTTGATTTACCGGTTTAGAAACAAATTATTACATTTCTAGGGAGCATGGAACATCTCAGATTGAAATAATGCTGGCCTTTCTCGAGTAATTACCAAAGAGTTCTGCCTCTGATAAAAACATTTGCCCTGTTTATGCAAAATGGAAAGGCATGTGCTCTGTGGACCCGTGGTGGGTAATTTATCATCTCAGAGCTGTGAAAACTTTGGCTGCAGTAGCAAGTAGTAGGAAACTTCTTTAATGTTCTTGGCCAATAAAGGGTCAAATACTATAAAGCTGCTGAATGCTATAGTATAAGTATAGTATGGTACTTATTCCGTGACAGTTGTACATGATTGTCTGCTAGTCAAGTTCTTGGCTTAGGCCTTGGAGCTTCCTCTTCCCTAATGGGACCACCTGCATGTGTTTTCATCTACTTTCTTTTATTAGCACTGTAAACATGTGATGTAAACATTATAACATGTTTTCATGATTGAGCAGAGATAGAGTCTGTTGTGGTGAATGCATTGGAGAAGAAGGTTACACTCATTTGCAGATATCCCAGAGTAGCCAAAGTACCGGCCCGTCCGCTAGTTGCTGCTGTTTACAGGAACCCTCTAAACAAATTTGCCTTGATTAAAAGGATATTTCGTTCTTCCTCGAGTTGATCAATTCCAAGCCAGATTGAGAAGTCCAAGATGCTATGGGAAATTCATATCAGAAGTCTTCCTAATTCCTTCAATTGGATTGGACATGAATATTACTTTTTCGCTCTGATTAATTGATGATTGGTACATACTTCAGTTGGTGATTTAGTTCCACATTTTGTAATTGAATTTTTATAGAAACGTATAGTAAAATAAGTGGGACATATTGGTAGATTGATTGGGCAAATCCTTGACTACTGGTTCTGTTACTGTGTTTGTTTGAAAAAGAGATGGTTGGAAAAACTGGATCCTGAGAGGGGCCTTAAATTTTCTTTAATAGAAACCTTTGAGTTCAAGAAAGAGATGCTTTCTAATGTTGCTATGCAAAAGTGATGCTTAGCCTTGCCATTGTGACAGGAAACAGACAAATATTTATAATGAAGTTAAGGATATATAATAAGCCGCACAGAAGAAACAAAAAGCCTCTTTCTCAACTTCAAGCATAGTCAGATTCCAAAACGAAAAGGAAGAATTTCCATGGGATGATTCAAAAGTAGAATATCAATTATTGGTTCACAATCTTTCATATTCCCAATATTCCACAGCTGCCTTTTCCATTTACCTTTCTCCAGTCATCAAAACAACCCAAAATTTCATCTCAGGTCCTGGCATTTCCAACTTCATGGCAGGAAAGGCAAGTTCTGTGGCATCTTTGTCTCTCTTCCTTGTCAAGCTTACATAATGTCTCAAAGGTTAAATTTCGTCTTTCCGAAAAAAGAAGAAGATTTCTGATGGGGCTATATATCTGTTTTTGGTTTTTTCTTGGGTACAATTGCAGTATTTTTGCATGGTGATGAGGCTCAATATTGACTGCAATGGATGTTGCAGGAAAGTAAGGAGAATACTTCTAAACATGAAAGGTAAGGTATCCATAAACGTAGGCATCAAAGTCCATAAATTTAACTCTAAATATATATTCCAAAACTAACTATCCTCTTTCCATTTATATGTTGAAGAAATAGAGACACATTTGATTGAGAAGCAGCAGTGTAGGGTAAGTGTGTGTGGGAGATTTGTACCAGCAGATGTGGCAATAAAGATGAGAAAGAAGACGAACCGTCGAGTTGAAATTCTGGAAATTCAAGAGCTCGATGGCACCACTGAACAAATGGAGCAAAGGGCTATGATTGCTACTTGTAAAACACATCAATTATATTGTTAGGGTAAATTTACTTTACCAGGTGGTTTTTTTTCCTTTTTAGTGTGAATACAAAATTTGCCTAGCAGTTAGTAATGCATGCCATTGTTCTTGAGAATTGAAATTGATAATAGAATGCAAATAAGTGAGATATAAGCCAGGAAATCATACTTTTCAATTCGATATTTTTTTTGTTTCATGAAACAGGATTCTTGCGTGATGATATAAGTAAGTACATAAAGAAACAATCAATTATCCATGCCATGAGAAATCTGTTTTCATTCCCTAAGATATTTTCAGAATGGTTCATAATTTTTATTTTGGTTACCGAGAAAAAAACTTATTGGACACATAGCAGCCATAATAAGAAGGATGCTACTTTGTTCACACTTACCCGGATGGTACCCCTTTTTTTTATTTTTTAAAGCCTTTGAAGCTGCTTCATTTTATCCAACCTACAGGTTGCCCTTTCTGTGGAATTGGGCGCATTTGCTGCATGAAACCATGTTCTGATATCAATTATTAGAAGCCCATGAGTAGAACTTGCTCCTAAAAATCAATTTGTAAGTTGTAAGAAAAGAGTGCCCAAGAATTGTTAAGTTGCGCTAGAATATGCCATTTTTCCAATGTGGAAACTCGAGTCCTAACATTCCTTCGCGCTTTTGTTAAGTTCTTTAATAACAATTTTCATTTATTTATACAAATGAGGCCAAAAAGATAGATATTTGTATATAAGACACTCAAAATTTTTGACCAAAAAAGGCACCCTAAATTCCAGAGATGGAAAGAAAAATATGTTCGTTTGGCACAATAAGTGGATTAAAAAAAAAGTTTTTATTTTTATAAATAGGCCCATTCGTAAGCCCATTTAAAGAGAAACCGAAAACTAGCCACTTGTCATTTTCTAATTGGTTCTTAAAATTTTTTAAAACACTAAAAGCAAATTAGAAAATAGTTAGTTTTGGGTTTTTCTTTTTAAATATACTCTATATACAAATATGAAAGTTTCTCAAATAAGTATTTTATGTTAAGAATTGGTTACATACTTCTAATCTTAGTCATTGGATTGCATTCATTAAATATGTTGGTAATCTCTTAGATACAATCTAACGGCCGAGATTAGAAATATACAACCAATTCTTAACTTAAATATTTATTGGAGCATCTGAATGCAAGTATATCATGCTGAAATGAGCTTTTTTATAAATATTTAAATTAATAAAAAATTTCGTTTGGCACATGAGCCACAGTGACATTGGACCCGAATAAGGATATCCATATGTCACGCTGTCAATCTCGAAGTATTTGATTTTCTTCGAAAAGTCATAAAACCAAAAACCATTCTCTCTCGCTCGCTCTCATAATTCAGACTCCTCGCAAAACCCAAAATCATAAAACGACAAAAAACCAACCCCTAACCCTAGATTTCCCGGATGGCCAGTGAAGCCCAAGACTCGCATCGCAAACACCGCCGGGCCTCTTCCTCCGACGACGAGGCCGAGAAGTCGTCGAAGCGCCACAAGCACCGTCACCACCATCGCCACCACCGTCACCGTCATGGCAGCAAAAAGCGCGAAGGCGATGTCAAGCCGGCCGTTGACGATGTTGAAGCTCCTCTGGCTGCTGTTCTGTTATCTTCTTCAGGTGCCAATAGTTCTAGGCCAGATGAAGACGTGGAGGAAGGCGAAATTCTCGAGGAGGAGGGTGTCGGTGGTCACGACGACGGCGTCTTGAAGACGACAGCCGGCTCTGATGCCGAGTCTGGTGAAATTGAGGCTCTTGGAATTCGCGATCAGTCTGATAATCGAAATCTGGTGTGTTCTGAATGCCCCGTATTATCTTCTGGTTTTTCATTAGTTGGGCCTCTACTTGCTGTTTGGTCACTAAAAAGAGTTTGGAATTTGGAAATTCGAATCTTTAATTGTTTCTGGCTAGTTTTCATGAACTCTTTAATTGATTGGTTTTCAAACTTATATAGTTTTTCTTTTTCGTTTCGTTTGCTTGAGATTCAAATCGTTGAAACTTTTGGAAATGTATTTAACTGTTGTTCAGTGGACAAAATATCTATACCTTTCTATGCGTTTTGGACTGTGTGATGAAATTTGTTTGGTGAGAACTTGTTCAAGCTGAGTCAAAGCCATTGTTTCATACATATGTAAGAACCCGCTCTTGCACTAGCCGAACATGAATCAATTGCAAAAGAAGTTTCCCTAGGCGTTTCAATCAATGAAGGCTGATGGCTTACTTTTAATTTGTAAGAGTTGGTTACGTTGCATATTAAGTAACTGTTATTTTTTTATTGTGTTTTGCCTGGATTAATGTTAAGTACTGCAATTTGTTCACTTACTTGATTTTCCTTGGTGTGCTTGGCAGGGAATTTTTGTCGATAACATTGATAATAATTCAAAAACCATGAGAGAGCACTGTAGTGACGATGATACTCGAATTCATGTTGGTGGCAAGTCTCGGGATGAGACTGGGTTGCCCAGACATTCCAGTATCGAGCCTCAAGATGATTTAGCTTCTAGATTAGGCATAGAGGATCATGCCAATGGCAATTCCCACCGGTTTCACAAAGAGGAGAAGAGGCGGCACAGGGAATCTGGGTTGCCTTCTAAAGAAAGTGATAAGCGAAAGCATTACTATGATGATGAAAAAGTGGATGATAATAGAAGCAAAGTAGCTAATCGAAAAAAGCCATCCTCTGGAAGTAGTGGAGACAAGCACAAGACCTTGGTACGTTCACCATCTCGTGATAGGTGCGGGGATGATTTACATGGTAGGAGCAGATCGAGGTCATATGATCATGTGAGGGAGAGATCATGCTCCCGCAGTAGAGTAGAAGAGGAGGCCCTTTCTAAAAGGAGACGTTATCAAGAACGAGACACTGCAGTATCTGTAGAGAAAAGTAAGGCTACGTTCGACTCTGGTGATGAAGGAGTGGTTCGGAGGCATGACAGTGACGATTTGGCTAGGGATGATGAACGAGAACAGAGTATTAGTTATAGCAGATACTCTGTATCCGATCGTAGCAGAGAGAGAGAGAGGAGTAGGGAGAGGGAGGTGGATAGGATTCAGAGAAGGGAGAAAGAACAAGAAAGGAGCAGAAATAAGGATCGGAGAAGGGATGGAGAAAGAGAAAGGAGTAGTGACAGGGATTTGGTTAGGGACAGGAAAAGGGGAATTGGACGAGACAATAGCAGGGAAAGGAGAAGAGAAGAGCGACATAGGAGCAGAGACATGGAGAACAGGGACAGAAAAAGGGAGGAAGAAAACAATAGGAGCAGGGACCGGATCAAGGCTGATAGGGACAGAGATATGGAGAGGGATCGAGATAGGGACAGAGTTACAGACCGGAAATGGGAGAGGCGAGATGATAGAGACAGGGATAAGGGTCGAGATATGGAGAGGGAGAAATATGAAAATCTTGAAGACAGCTATGGAAATCGAGATAGGAATAAACATTCTGGTCGATCAAGGCATGATGAAAAAGAATACAACCAGGACAGAACAAGAAAAACTGATCCAGCAAAGGTTCAGAGTTCAAACAGTTATGCTGCAGAAGGGATTGAAGACATACCAAAAAGGTATTTGCTTGGTTTAACAGTTGCTCCCTTTTCTCTTGTTTGTTTACCTCTTGATGCTTATATTTCAGTTCTTTTTTGTAGAGGTGAAGATGAACAAGAAGACAATGAAGAGAGGGCCACTTTTCAATTTGCTGAGCAGGAAGAGGAAGATCTGAACAGGATCAAGGAGGAGAGTCGAAGAAGAAGGCAAGCGATCTTAGAAAAATACAGAAATCAGCAGTCACAGCAAACAAATGAGTTACAAAAAAATGAGTCACAGTTACAACAACGAATTGAGCCTCAGCCTCTTTTGGAGGGTGTGGAGAAAGGTACTTCTAAATTTTCTTTTAAGTCATCGATGTTCACCTAAGCTCTCCTTTCCTTTTAAGTGCATCTGCCCACCATTTGTTGCTATTTGTATGTTTTATAATACTGTTTATGCTACTCTGGGTGCTTCAGGGTTACATCCTTACAGTATTATTTATTTATTATAATAATAATGTAAACAAATATGTTAACCAGACAAAGATCCTCAAGATCATGCGACCGAATCAGCTGGTGTTGCCAAATCTGGTGCAGAAACTGATGATGGCAGGAGTGATGAAGATGTGTCTCTTGCTGTATTTTCAATTTCACCTCAGCAAAATGGTGATGTTGCTTCTAGGATGACGTCTGGTGCCACTGGGCTTGGAGAGGGTACTCCAAAGGTGAGTCTAGTCTTTCCAAAATTCTGAGTACCCACAGTTTGAAAAATCTTGTTTATTTGAGGAAAACTTAGATTTGTTTGTTGTTGAAACCGTAATTTTTGGTATTTTTATGTCCCAACTTGGCTTGAATCGTTTAGGATTTGACTGAGATTTGTGAGTTTTTTAATTTTTAATTTATTTTCAACTTATGCAGAGTGAAAGATCTGATGTCATTTTCTGTGATGATATCTTTGGTGAGACCCCAGTTGGAGTTAGAAAATCGGTAAGTTCATATGTAAGTTACCCATGCAGTGCACCTTTCATTCTTACAATTATGGTGTGCATATATGACATTTTAGATATTGATAGAGTTCATGAAATAATGTTTATACATCCTGAGTAACTTGTATTTAGTTTGGCTGGTATTGTCTTGCATGGGCAACAATCGGAAAGCATTGACCTTGGTTCATGTTGCATGTTACTTTGCATGTCAGTTTACATATGTATCACTTTTCATTGTTTTTTGTCATTTTTGTTGTGGATTTGTGTACAAGAATTGCAGTTTGTTTAATGCCCGGCTTGCAGAAATTTTTGTCTTCTCAGCAGAGTTTCATATGGGCAGTATCTGCAGGATGCAACATGAATGATTCTGTGGAGTGGTTTTTCTTGTTATTTATATTTTTATCATCACTTACTCAAGAACATAAATTTTTGGACAGTTTGTGTTTAGAACACTAAGAGTGATGATTAGTCATGTAGCTTGCAGCTAGACTTAGGTCTTGTGTTTCTTTTACCTCTGCAGGGCAAAGGAGATGGTGTTCGAATTGAAAGGAGTGGTCTTCATGACAACTGGGATGATGCAGAAGGGTACTACAGTAAGTATATGACCAATCTTTCACATTTTTGTTAGGCTTGTAATGGTCCCTTTCAAGTAACAGTTGCAGTTCCCTTCCTTCCCTTACTCTTCCTGCGGGGTTTAAAAAATCATGCATATAGCCCAACTCATGTTCTCTCTTATTGGTGGAATTAATTTCTGCCAGATTTCCCCCTTTTTTTTTCTCAGTTGTAATTATAATTTTCATACAAAATAAAATAATTCATTTTCTTAATTACCTAGGTTGATATTTCATCCAAATATGATTTTTTTATTTTTCTACTGTGTATTCATTTCCTTTTCTCATTTAGTATGATGTTGTTTTGAAGGCTACCGGTTTGGGGAACTACTTGATGCCCGATATGAAATTACTGCTGCTCACGGAAAAGGTGTCTTTTCAACCGTAGTTCGTGCAAAGAACCTTAAAGTCGGTAATGGTGAACCCGATGAAGTGGCAATTAAGATTATACGTAGCAATGACACTATGTAAGTGATTATGATACCAGTTATGTTGGTGCTGGTTTTGGTTATTATCTTGTATATCCATTATTTGGCCTTTTTCCTTGGACTTATTGCTGCTTATATGTAGGTACAAGGCTGGTATGACAGAGTTGGCCATATTGAAGAAATTAGTAGGTCAAGATCCAGAAAATAAGCGCCACTGTGTTCGTTTTCTATCAAATTTCAAGTATCGAAATCATCTTTGTTTAGTTTTTGAATCTCTTCATATGAATCTCCGTGAGGTCTTAAAGAAGTTTGGGCGCAATATTGGTCTTAAGCTAACTGCTGTGAGAGCATATGCCAAGCAACTTTTTATTGCACTGAAGCATCTAAAAAACTGTGGTGTTCTTCATTGTGATATAAAGCCAGATAACATGCTGGTAGGTTGTTGCTATTCTTTCATGATTGGATTTATTCCGAGTCATTTATGTCACTCATAATATATCTATGTTCCAGGTAAATGAGGCTAAAAATGTGCTGAAGCTTTGTGATTTCGGTAATGCCATGTTTGCTGGAAAGAACGAAGTTACACCGTACTTAGTCAGCCGCTTTTACCGTGCCCCTGAAATAAGTAAATTTTCTTATCTTTTTGTTGAGCTATCATTCAGTTTAAAAAAAATATATCCTTCTTGGTTAGTATGTTCCACCTGAAATTTTGATCTGGTCTTTGATGTCTTGGTGGCAGTTCTTGGCTTGTCTTATGATCATCCATTGGATATCTGGTCAGTTGGTTGCTGTTTGTACGAACTCTCTACCGGAAAAGTTCTTTTTCCTGGTGCTACAAACAATGATATGCTACGTCTTCACATGGAATTGAAAGGGCCATTCCCAAAGAAGATGCTTCGGAAGGCATGTATTTGGTTTGATATTCATCAACAATTTTTTTTGGAAGTAAAAACATATCAGTGTAAAGCAAGGAACATAAATTCTTGTTACTGGTTCTTCTGTATGTTTTATATGCTAATATTACATTACTGTTTTAATTGTTCTCCATCTTAAAACTTTTCTTTTTGTTAATGTCCTTTTTGTCTTTTGTTTTCTACTTACAGGGAGCATTTACCCATCAACATTTTGATCAGGATCTGAACTTCCATGCCACAGAAGATGATCCTGTTACAAAGAAGGTATGCATCTGTTCTCTGGCTTGTTTTTATGTATGTCCAGCGTGACATCTTGAGTTGTCAAGTATTAGAGTAATGTGGTTTCCTATCAAGTTTATGAGGTTTAAATTCTGCTTATGCAGACTATCAAACGGGTGATTCTCAATATAAAGCCAAAAGATATTGGATCGATTATTACAGGTTCTTCTGGTGAGGATCCAAAGATGTTGGCCGATTTTAAAGATCTTTTAGATAAAATGTTTGTGTTGGATCCAGACAAGAGGTTGACAGTATCACAAGCTTTGAGCCATCCATTCATCACTGGCAAGTGAACCCTGTTGCTGATTTTCTGACTCCAGAATTCCTGTTCCGCTAGATATTTGTACATTTTGACCTAATTCATACAGTTTCTAATCATTGGGCATTATCTCTCTTCTCTGTGATGGCCTGAGAGCTTTGACACAGTTTTGGCATGGTTGAAGTCAAAAGGGGTGATGTTTTTTCAGGAGTACTCATTACTGGCGGGTTCTTTCAGTGGAGTGTACTGTTTCTATTGTAAGACAACTAGCCAAAGGCGTCTTTTCCCCCTGTAATCATTCATGATTGGCCAATGTGAAAATTATTTACATCTATTATAATTTTCCATCATGATTATATGTGTACTTGGAACATGGTTTCTGCAATTCAATCTGTTGAACAACAGAGGATATATTTATCTTCATGGGTTGTTTACAAAACATGCTTGAGCTTTTGCCAAAGTTTTGGGTTTTTTTTTTTTACCTGTTTTACTTTGCTTCCTTACTATGTACTTTTTGTATATATTTTTCCTTTGTTGCTTGTATTGAAGTTCCATTGTTAAAAAATAATTGTGGTATTTAGAACTTATGTTATGATTGGTTGAAGGTTTGTTTAACATCCTTCCCTTTCATGTCCTTTTTGTCAGTTGTATCTTTATTGCCACTTTATTTTAATTACTTTGGTTCTGGAGATTCTAATTTAACTTTTCATTCAGGATATGTGCCATTGCTTTGAGGCAACACTCCAGTGCTTAGATGCTTAAAAGGAACCCAGGAGAAGGTACCTTGGTTTGTTTATTGGGAGAATATTGTGAGGGACTTGAAAGTAGATGTCACTGTGTTGCATGATTTGTCTTTATGTTGTTCCTACATAAAAGCTTCTTTGTAAACTTGGAAATTTATTCAAGCTGAATCTAACAGTGTCACTGCCATAGATTTGATAACTTTTTATAATAGTCTTTTTTCTTTTTTCTGGGTGTTTTCTATTTGGTTTGCTTTTGAGATTGTGAGAGTTGTTAATTTGTTTATTTACTATAGTATTAGTTATCCGGAAAGTGTAGGTGCATGTACATGCATTCTGAAATATGCTGTGGTTTTTCTGGAACATGGGTCAATTGATGACTTGTACCTCGCCATGTTTGTTTTCTTAGGTGTCAAACTAAATCCATGTAATTGTATTCTGGCATGTATGTTTTGTCGGTCTTTGTCTGGGCTTGAGGGTTTTCTATGTTACTTCTTTTTGTTTGTCTTACATTCAAAATATGCATATCCTAATGAGATTGCATTGCATCTGATCCATGGTCATTCTGGAGGCTCTTGCACAGGAGGCATGTGGCTGCTGCCGGATCTAAAAGATATGAGTAAGTAATTTAATCTATGAATTTAGTTTCGTCCTTGTGGGCTGTGTATTTCATTAAGATCTATAGTTTTAATCTTGATTTTTATGTTTTAGGGTATGGCCCCCATGCTCCTGCACTACTTGTAAGTATATTCAAAGCATAAATTTGTCAATTTGGGTACTTTTTGTGTTTTATTGTGTCTAGTGTAATTTTTCACTTCGTATTCTTTGATTGGCTATTTACTTCTTGATTTTTGCTAAATCTATAGATTGCATTCTAATTTGTGTAACAAAATTCTTTAGACTTGTGTCTGGTGCCTGTAATGCTGAGATATTCTGATATGATCTATCCATTGAGAGGTTGTATACCGTTATGGCAGTGGGTGCAACCTTGTGTCTGTTTCAATGAATAGGAATATAAAATACACAATGATTTAAAGTAAATAGGGGCCTAATATAAACATAATTTAATTTGTATAAATAAACTAAAATATAGTTAAAGAAAGTAATTTCCTTTGGAACTAATGTAGTTTGTGGATGTGCGCGTAACCTTATTTTAATTTCATGAAATTGTTGTCCAGCACTTTTGAACAGCTGTCTTCAGGTTCCTTCGATAGACTATTTTTGTGTTGTATCTGTTGGCTTAAAAAATAACTGGATATGTTCTTTTGGAAAGTGTTACTTGTGCAGGTGTGTTTTTATTTTCTTGACTTTCCAATACGTTGGTTTTCTTACCACCCAATCATCTGTCTCAACCTTCTTATCTTCAGTATGCGGGAATGGTTTTTTTGTTCATCTATAAAGAATAGCTGCTCTATTAAAATTTCTAATTTCTCTGTTAGCTTATTTGGTATTCTTTTATCACAAAGGATATCATTGGCTTGTGTTTCGTTTGTCCATTTGGTTATGATTCATCCTTTTATTTCTGCCATTTTTCATCATTCAATTTAAAAGAACTTGAAAAGGTCAAAGACTAGTTTTGTTTTTAATCAAAATCAAGAGACTAAGATGATGTGAACCCTTGAAACCATAAGAAACTTGCATATGACCTACAGCCGTTCAAATAACTCAAGAAAATAACATAAAAAGACAAAATCCCAACTAATAGGCAGCTAGAGTTCTGGTACAGTACCCCAAAAATCCATAAAATTGTCATCTGCTATACTGTTGGGGGGCGTGCTACTTGGTGTGTCATTTTGTCCCATGGAATATGTACGTATGATATCTGTTAGGCAGGTGTTTCTGCACCCAACAACATTCAAGGATCCATAAAATTTGATTTATTTAGCAATTGGCACATATGTTCCAGAGTGGAAAATGTTAAGAGTAGGACGCCTGCAGGCTGTCCCCAAGGCAACCGATTGAAATTCAGTGGTAGGATTCCCAAGGGGTGGGGGGAACAGTATTTGGCTTGGATTGCTTTTATTTTGATTATATGTGGGGAAGAAACTTTGTAACTCTTGAGATCTGGAGAGCAGTGGCATACTCATCCAATGGGTCTTTTGCCAAATTCATAGAAAATGAGGCGTGTTTTAATCAATTGCAGGCTCTGTTTCTTTTTGGTGATGGGCTTATTAGATTTTAAAAAAAGCTACTACTGTGTGTCCATTTCTGACCTAAATATTGTAACTTGTTATATGCCTTGTCCATTGTTTTCAATTATTACTTTTCAGTAGGAGCTTTTGGAGTCATTGATAAACCCGATTGTTGCATCAGAAACGGGTGTTTAGCTTATGGTGTAATGATGTGGATTGGTGTAGATAGTAATTTTGTTCTTGAAAATCATAAACATATGCTGGTCTAATAAATAACAGATGTATTCTTGTTCTTGTTCCATTTGTATCCTGAGATCAATTCTTTCTATTACATATAATGGTAGAAAAGGGAAGGAAAATGTCCTTGTTCTAATATGATTTTCTTTTGATTTTATCGTTTGATATCTTGCCCTTGTACGATAATAACTATCCGCAACCAGTATCTTGGATGAACTTTCATCTTCAGTATGCAATGTCAATTAAACTACCATGAGTGTCAAGTTCCACCGTCTTTAGTTTACACACTCGCGTCAGTCATGGTTACCTTAAACAATTCTTATATTTTAGAGGGTTCTGCCTTTTTTCTTTGCTTAATCAATGAGGAGACTTCTGAAGAGACTTCTTGTGGAAGATGACAATTTTATATTAACGCGTATGATTCCACAAGTCTAATGTAAAGTAACCAAGCAGGTTCACACGAAAGTTAATTGACTCTGCTGCAAAAAAGATATATATAGGGCTTGTGAGTATAATTTCAGTACTTATATTGCGTGATCTGTGCTGCAAAAACAACTGTGTATAACCTTCACTACGCAGCCTAATTGTTACTTTTTATTATATTCAATCAAATCTAGTGTGATGATATGAATTGTGTTTAAAATTGTTGTGAGGGAATTGTAATTTTATATGCAGCTCTTGTCGTGTCGCTTGATTCATATAACAAAAGAGAAGAAAATGGTAGATTAGAGCCGCCCGCCGTTTTTAATAATATAATGATCCGATGGTACCAAAAGCCCTTTCCGCCGGTGGTGTTAAATTGTCAATTACGGGGGCCACGGGCTTTGATAAGTTTACCCTTCTAGACTAGTTGGCAGGTTCCGTCTTCTGTGGTCAAATGGAGATTGACGAATTCAAATTAATAGGTTTCTTGCAATCTTTGGGTTCAGTCTTATACAAGATCGCTAAGAAGCTTCCACTTCACATCCATTTCTCCTCACAAGTCACCAAGACCGCACTCAAAAGTACCCTCAGCAATCGCCATCCCTACTAACTTGTCGGGTATAGGCCTCAGAGGATAATCCTATATGGGCAAATATTATTTCTATTGCGTTGGTTGTGTTATTCATTTGGCCACTGCTACGTAATGGGTCCACTGCTAATACGACGACACCTAACCGAACCACCAAATTGGGAAGATTGAGGAACAAAGTTGATCCATCCTATATAGGATTACCCTGCACATTTAGGAATTACAGCAGAATTAACATTCATTAGAAATTGTTTTCGTCTTTCACTTGCCCTAATTTCACCAAAATCCTCCGCAATAGGCAGAACCAGCACCAGTTTGTCCAGATCTGGGAAGCACTCTGCATATTTGCCTAGCCACTAGAGCAAAACAAGAAGCTGTTACTTACCATAAACAAACCCATTCCATAAAAAGATTTCATTTCGTGGCGACCGTGATCCACGTGTCCGAAGTGCGTCTGACCAACTGGATGCTTTCTGGCTCTCTTCGCAGAAATTGTCCATCTAAGACTAATAAGCCGCGTTTTACTAAAACCACGTCTACATTTGCATCATCTCCATCTAGAGACTTAGCCCTTAAGCCAAAAAGTCCACAAAAACACATAAACAAAACACGTAAGCAGCGAAGAGGCTCCATGTACTCATAGAAAGTCGTACAGTCACCGAGTCATTCGTGCTTTCTCTCAATCGTCGTCATCTCGTAAAGGAGCAAACGATCCAGGGCTCGTTTGTTGGGTTGTGCCTGGAATTATACAGAAGAAAGAAGGCGATATGGGAAGAAAGCTCGATGCTTTGCTCGGAAGGACTTTCAAGACCTCCAAGCTCAAACCACTTTTGAATCTTGCTCTGTCTCGCCTTGCTGTCCTCAAGAACCTGCGCCAGGTCAAGTTCTCCCAAGCCCGCTCTGATGTTCTTCAGCTCCTCCAACTTGGTCACCATGAACGAGCTCTTCTTCGGGTAGGATTTATATTTTCTTCTGACTTTGTGATCAAATCTTTTTCTGGGTAACTTATTTTTCTCGTTGACTTTGCGACTGAGAGGCTCTGTTTTTGGTGTTGGCAGGTGGAGCAGGTGATTAAGGAGCAGAATATGTTGGATGTGCTTGTCATGATAGAGCGTTACTGCAACCTCGTGATTGAAAGGGTTCACCTCATTGAACAAGAAAGGTTTGCTAGTGATCTCATTTAATTACTTTTTGTGGTGTTATATTCATGCATAGCTTTGCTAGGCTGATCAGATAAGCTTGTGGTTTGGTTTATTTACAGAGTATGTCCTGATGAACTGAGGGAGGCAACGTCGAGTTTGCTTTATGCGGCTTCAAGATGTGGGGATTTCCCAGAGCTTCAAGAGATTCGTACGGTTCTCACCTCTCGTTTTGGCAAGGAATTTGCTGCTCGTGCCATTGAAGTGCGCAACAATTGTGGAGTCAACCTTACGGTATGTATTTCCTTTTTTGGGAAATGAATATATGAATTTGTGAAATTGTTCAATGAGATAAAAGAAACACCAAATATGACGTAAATGAGATCTTGTTCCTTTTTGCCATTAAAAGAAAAAAGAAAAGAAAAGGGAAAAGTCACTACTTTTGCCACTTTCCCTTATTAATAGTTGCATATTTTTGTGTGGATATTGGGTTTCTGTAGATGATGCAAAAACTGTCAACTAGGATGCCAGTTTTGGAGATCAGAGTGAAGGTGCTCAAAGAAATTGCTGCAGAGAACAGCATTGTTCTGCAGCTGGAGGAAACTACTTCTGTTTCCACTGAGGTATGCAACTTGAAAACAAAAACAGGAATTACAAGAGGAATAGAATTGAACTGTCATTTGCTCTTAGACTTTGACAATTATGTATTCATGGCATGTGGTTTGTTCTGTGTGTGTGTGATCAATAACGCAGGAGAAGTTGGATGTGAACAAGAATCAAAACCAGGCTGCACCAAACCCACCGGCCAGTTCAAGTGGCACGGCATCAGCGGATAATTTGCAGGCTCTCTCTCAAGAGACAGAAAAAGATGATAGGTTCTCTGGTTCACTTAAGAACAGGAAATACAAGGATGTAGCTGATGCTGCTCAAGCAGCTTTCGAGTCTGCAGCTTATGCGGCAGCAGCTGCAAGAGCAGCAGTGGAACTGTCTAGGTCTGAATCTCATGATCCTGATGATCAAAATAGTCCCGGTAGTAAACGAGGAATTTTATCTGACAGATATGAGTCCTTTAAAAGTGAATCTGAATCACAAAATGAGCAAAATCGAGGTGAAGAATTGAAGAGGTCAACATCTTCTTCAAGTTTAGATTCAGATGGAGATGCCATGGTCCATGCCAGTCTTTCAAGGAAGGATATAGCGTTTGATGAGAGTGAGAGTGACAATGAACGAAGTGCCATGCCCCCATCTCATAAGCAAATTCCTTCAAGGTTTCAATCTGGGCTGAAGGTTGAGTCAGCACATGCTGCTGGAGGGTCTGGAAGGCAAAGCCCACCAAGATTGAACATAGAGAAGGCACCATTCTCTCTGAGGACAAGAGGGGTGCGTGGGTACTGAGAATCATTAGTCTTGTTTGTTGGTTTTGCTAATAAATTATGTCGTCTATAAATTTGATTGTTTCTTGATCTTTGATTTTTTTGTTTTTTGTTGTTGGTGGAAATGTAAACTTAGTGTGATAATTTTTGAAACATCGGTTTTTCAGTTCTATTTTGTTGATATTGTGAGGTCTCAAAATTGTAGTCTGGGAATTGAAGTGGGTTCTACTTGTACATGGGCATGAGTGCACAAATTTCCTCAACTTGAACTCCTTCGATTCAACACCCTTGAATTACAATTTGCAGCATAAACACAACCCCAAACAAATTCTTACAGGAAAAAAAATTGAGAAGGCACCGTCTAACATTCACTTCTGACAGTGTTTGAAAAAAGGGCCTAGGCGCTAGGCGGGAGGACACCGCCGCTCTTTCACCCAAATCGTTAGGGGTAGGCGCCAGGAGTTACTTTTCTTTGTAGCTGCTGCTGGGCTCATCTTATTTCAAAGGTGAGCAAGAGGAGATATGGAGGCAGAGAAAGAGGAGAGACACGAGGGAGGTAGAGAGATAGGAGGTGATGGAGGCGGAGAGATGAGAGATAAGTGAGGACCATTTTTAGGCTTCCATTCGGAGCTTGAGGAGGGTTATTATTAACAATCAGTGTTTAAACAGCGTTTTCCTCAAAACTCGCTCTCTAGTCTTTCCTTCTACCGTTCATGCATGGATTATTTGATTCGAACCTAACGGAACCAACTTTTCAATCCATTTCTTCAAGATCTGGTGGTGCCAAATTAAAATGGAAACATTAGATAGGACCCTAATTTATATTGCAGATCCTGGGTTAGAATATCATGGGGAGATAATATTCTATTTAAAAGAGTATAGCCCCCAGGCTATACTGTCTTCCAAATTTTTTAGAAGAAATGGTATAGCCGGACGGCTATACCTGGATTTCCCCAATTTTTTTAATAAAATGGTATTGCCGCACAACTTTACTCAGCTATTTTTTTCTTAAAAAGAAATAGTATAGCTGTTTATCGAACCATGAAAAAGATTCAACAAAAGACAGAAACAAATCCACTATCTGTTTTACGTTAAGCGGCTATACTCGGTTTTTAATTTTTTTTTTTAAATATTTGAATATTTGAATAGTATAGCCGGGCGGCTATACTCTTTAAATATATACAAATATTTAAAGAGTATCGTCGTTTGGCTATACACTTTTAAAGCATCCACAATGATACTCTCTATTTCTTAGCTAAAATTTGGCTAAGAATATAAGAAAGCTATTTTAAGAGCTCTCTAAAAAATTTCAACTCCAACCATATTCTCTAATTTGGAGAGTCATAAATGCTATAACTCTTTTTTGATTGGTTCATCTCTATTAAAAAATAAAATAAAAAATAGTTAACATTAAATAAATGTTTAAAATACTCATTAAATAAAGCAGCATTAAATTATAGGGAGCCACTATGAGTCCTTTCTCTTTCCTCAGATTTAGGAGCTCCTAGAGGAATTCCTATTTTAGGAGGTGGATAGGGAGTGTGGTTGAAGTTGCATTTTTAAGATTCCTCCCTAAAATTTGTCTGAGGGGGTGGTTTAGGGAGCTCATTGTGGATGCTCTTAATATATTTGAATATGTAAATATATTTAATATGCAACTCCAACCCGGCTATATGCTTTTAATATATTTAAATATTTAAATAATATAGCAGCACCAGTATATGATTTAAATATATACGAATATTTAAAAATATATTTAAAGAGTATAGCCGTGCGGCTATACGATTTTAATATATTTGAATATTTTAATAGTATAGCCGGTCGGCTATACGCTTTAAATATATACGAATATTTAAAAACATATTAGTATACGCGCACGGCTATACTCATATATTTTCTTTTGTCAAAATCAAAATACATTTCGCAAAAGTTCAATGCTCTCCGATATAGCCACACGACGTTACTGGTTCTAAATTCTTTTTATTTATTTATAAATAATGTAGCTGTGCTGCGATACTCTTTACCTAGATACGGTAATATTTTTTTTTAAAATTGTTTTTCCGGAATTTTTGTTTATCGATAAGAGTAGTTTAGAGTATCCCAACCTATGCGAGAGTCTAGGAAATGCCAATACAATTTTCATACAAACCTATTTCATGAAATGAAATTAATAGAACAACACCACCATGAATCACATTATAATAAGCTAAGAAACTTAATAACAAATCAAGAACACTAACCTGGATTAGAAAAAGCAAATGAATACGTGCATTAATTACAACCCTATTTTATGGAGAGAAATGAACATAATCTTTCCAAATTTAATGTAAATTGTAATTAGCAATTAATCAGATTTTCAGTTGAATTAGGTAAAATACTGAGTTGAATCCTAGTTGTTTGTGAGGTACAATAACTCTAGGCTAAGCTGGGCCAAATCACGGTGTTAGTGGTCAAGTTGGGCTCCCAAAATCATAGAAATTTCAAAACCATTTCCAAGAGGAGTTGAAGAATGGAACCCAAAGCAGAAATGGCTGCGGCGGTTGAGAACGCAGAAGAGGGGTTTGTCTGAAAAAAGGTGAAGATAGGGTTGGTGAAACGTTGTGTTTCACTTATGGGCTAGTACTTTAACAAGGTTCTCTTATGGGCTTGGGCTCATATACTAAAACATAACCTAATTGTGTTTTTATTTCAACTCATTGCTTTATATGAAAGCATATATCATGACGCATATATATACATTTTTATATATTAATTTTGGTATAAATTTATAATTTATAATTTATAATACAAAATAATACATGCCTAGGACTTTGTGTCTTGGGTAAGTATAAGTACATGCTTAGGATAGGTCCTCTTTCAGAATTGGCTCATACATCATTGCAAGTATGAGCTAGACACTATAACTCGTCTCAAAAACCAATAGAGCTAGATAAATTGTATCATATTTATAATTTGTAAAAGGTTTCAGCATGTTAAATCAGTAAACTGTCGATTTATCAACGAGGATACATTACGTAAGCCTAAATATTAATCTCCAGAGCATGCAAAATATACATTGCATACATTTGAAGCAGATCATCCTTTGCTACGAAAGCCAGGCAAACTCATTTCCAAATCGTTGACTATGCATGGCTTCATCAGAAAAAAAACTCACTGGAGTGGAGGCCGCTTTGCACACTGTTGTTGCAGGTCACCAGATGATCGCTTCTTGCCACGTTGTAGCAGGTCACTATATGACTGCAAACTCACACCAACATCGTCATCATATTCAAGCCCGATCTCCTCCTGCAATAACATAACAGACTACTTACAACTAAACCATAGCATAATGCCTAAGTTCATAAGAACACAGAAGATCCCATATAGGCAAACCTTAAATTCCTTGACATCTTTAGGTGAATTCTCAGTAATCGAATCCCACAGATCTTTGAACATCCTTTTGCGCTTTCTCCATTGACTTATTTTCTCATAGACCATTTGCTCAACTGCCTTGCGGTCTTCTGGCTTGACCAAGGTAACTCCTCCACGCAATTTTTCCAATCTGTCCTCCATTTCATTAACCTAATACAGAATTCAAAACTCCACACTTCATCCATATTCCATAGCCTCTTTTTCCCAGACACATATTTTGACTAATGTAATGTCAAACATATCCAATTTGCTTACCTCATTTGTCAGTTTGGCTTCTTTCTCCCTTATTTGTTCCAGGGTCAAATTTGACTGCAAAGCTTTAATTTCTGCAACAACGGTGCAAAACGACAATTCAAATTCACAAGGCAAAGTCTTAAACCGAGAATAAAAAATGTCGACTGCACTCAATTCTGGAAAACATGAAATGTAGTAAAGAATTTAACATGTACCTCCCTCAACCTCGCTAATCGATCTCTTTTGTTCACCCAACTGTTCTTGCAGTTTTTCATTTTCTTGCTTCATCCGGCTGAGCTCCTCACTGTTTGGAATGTCGAATTGGTCTTGCCGAGCAAGGTATACCTTCTGCTTACCATACTCCTTGAATGAAATCTTCCCATTATCAGCAAGAGTATCCAAAGCTTTTTGTATGGCTGCCTTTTTGAGGTTGTATTTTTGCAATGCATCCGCCACATTTTGAGAATTCAGTGGCCTATTTTGCTGGATAAAAAGAGACAAGTTTACATGAGCATTAGGGAGAGCACATACTGTGCCTAGTGTCTTCTGTTTGTTTCCCTAGAAAATATCTGCACAACTTTTTAAATTTCTTAACTTATTTTATTTCTAGTAAAACTATAGGGAAACAGAGGCAAACAACAAGAAAAAGCAAATTAATTACAATTGGCTTGCGGAGGAAGCTCAGTTGAGCTCAATCATGAGAAATTCGATTTTCCCACCTCCCAAACAGCCAAAAAATCGGAAGGGAAAAATAGACATTTCATCAATTCAATAAGAAAAAAATAATTCGATCCATAGAAAGTATATAATAATCGGAGAAACGAAAGTAATAAGACCTAAACGCAGACGATTAATGATAAGAAATTTGATTTTACCTCATTCAAGTATCTGAGAACGATAGCTGCAATATTTCGTAAAACCAAAGCAACAAGACGTTTAACATTCAGTAAAACCAGATTGAAAATCAAATCAGCTCAACAAAAAAGAAGCGTTCACGAATTTGGTTACCGTCGGTGCTATCGGATTTGGGAGCCATTGATCGGAAACTGTACGGAAAAGGGCGGGAAGAAGCTTCTGAAAGCTTTTGCTTTCGTCTTGAAATGGAACGAAAACAAAGGCCTTTGCCTCCTAAAACTCGTAGGCTAATAATGGGCTTCCATTTTCCGGACGGCGTCGTCTGCCTCTTTAAATGTCGAGTGTTTGATTGGACAAATTTACCCCCGCATCAAATACCGAATTTACATAAACAACAACTCGTTAATTTGGTGTTGTGAGGCATGCCACGCAATGTCGTTTCGTTCTCAGAAACGATGGCCGTCATCAGCAGCACAACATCTCAGCCTCTGCTCTGCACCAACCGCACCATTTTCTCAACCAAACTCTCCTTCAGCCCTCGTTCCAAGACCCATTTTTTCACACAAAGGCCAGTTTTTGCAGCACTGGACCTCCA